ATTGTACATAGAACAATATCGCACCTCTGAAAAGTAGAAGCATGCATATGTACTCAGTACTTGGTTTGGGCCCCTTTTGCAGCAATTACTGCCTCAATGAGGCGTGGCATGGAAGCTATCAGCCTGTGGCACTGCTGAGGTGTTATGGAAGACCAGGATGCTTCAATAGCGGCCTTCAGCTCTTCTGCATTGTTCGGTCTCATGTCTCTCATCTTTCTCTTGGCAATGCCCCATAGATTCTCTATGGGGTTCAGGTCAGGCGAGTTTGCTGGCCAATCAAGCACAGTAATCCCACGGTCATTGAACCAGGTTTTGGTGCTTTTGGCAGTGTGGGCAGGTGCCAAGTCCTGCTGGAAAATGAAGTCAGCATCCCCATAAAGCTCGTCTGCGGAAGGAAGCATGAAGTGCTCCAAAATCTCCTGGTAGACGGCTGAGTTGACCCTGGACTTAATGAAGCACAGTGGACCATTACCAGCAGATGACATGGCTCCCCAAATCAACACAGACTGTGGAAACTTCACACTGGACTTCACACTGGTGTGCCTCTCCACTTCCTCATACTCGCATCTTTCTTCCAGTGTGGGCTCTCTCCCATATCAGGGTCTTGGGCCTTCCATTCTTCCTCCATACTCGGGGTCCTTGGGCCTCTCCATTCTTCCTCCATACTCGGGGTCCTTGTGCCTCTCCATTCTTCCTCCATACTCGGGGTCCTTGTGCCTCTCCATTCTTCCTCCATACTCGGGGTCCTTGGGCCTCTCCATTCTTCCTCCATACTCGGGGTCCTTGGGCCTCTCCATTCTTCCTCCATACTCTGGGTCCTTGGTTTCCAAATGAGATGCAAAAGTTGCTCTCATCAGAAAACAGGACTTTGGACCACTGAGCAACAGACCAGGTCTGTTTTTCTTTAGCCCAGGTAAGACGCTTCTGACGTTGTTTGTTGTTCAGGAGCGGCTTGACAGAAGCAATATGACATTTGAAGCCCATGTCCAGGATCTGTCTGTGTGTGGTGGCTCTTGATGCACTGACTCCAGCCTCAGTCCACTCCTTGTGAAAGACCCCAACACTTTTGAATGGCCTTTTCCTGACAATCCTCTCCAGGCTGCGGTCATCCCTTGCTGCTTGTGCACCTGTTTCTTCCACACTTTTCCCTTCCAAATAACTTTCTATTAATGTGCTTTGATACAGCACTTTGGGAACATCCAACTTCTTCTGCAATTACCTTTTGAGGCTTTCCCTCCTTATTCAGGGTGTCAATGATGGTTTTCTGCACAACTGTCAGGTGAGCAGTCTTTCCCATGATTGTGATTCCTACTGAACCAGACTGAGAGACCATTTAAAGGCTCAGGAACCCTTTGCAGGTGTTATGGGTTAATTAGCTGATTAGAGTGGGACACTTTGAGCCGAGAATATTGCACCTTTTCACAATATTCTCATTTTCTGAGATTGTGGATTTGGGGTTTTCATGAGCTGTAAGCCATAATCATCACAATGATGACAAATCACGGCTTGAACTATCTCGCTTTGCATGTAATGAGTCTATCTCATATATTAGTTTCACCTTTTAAGTTGCATTACTGAAATAAATTAACTTTTGCACGATATTCTAATTTTTCGAGTTTCACCTGTATATATATGTAAAGTGCTGCGTAAATTGACGGCGCTATATAATTACCTGAAATAAATAGATAAAAAATAAATAAAAACAAGCAGGGCAAATAACAGCCAATGTGTTTCAGGGCCACACAATCCCCCTTCTGATTGAAATGGTGGGATGTTAAATGGACTTAAAACTCCTAAGCAAACCGATCTGCAGTCAGAGGGTGTTACCCCTGATTCACATATGTGCGTTCCTGTGGTCCGCATTCATTTGAATAGACTCCCGTGCCCAGGGACGCTCAGGGAAGAACTCCCTGCACTTCTGAAAACACAGCCCGCACGGGAACCTCGGTTCCCAGTACGGTTGCGATTTTCCAGTGCGGGCGGCGTGCCATTAGAATTAATGTCACCCGCTCGCGGGTCCGCATTCTTCTGTGCGGGTGGTGCGGCTGCACAGATTTTTGTGCGGATCTGCAGCGGCACCACCCACACATATGTGACCCTAGCCTTAGAGACAACAGTCAGTACTGGTATTCACAGTAGTAAAAGTAATCCATTAAACAGGCACAGGCTGAATGTCCAGCAGACTCCAAAAACACTCCTGATTAGGGCAGGTGTGCACTGCAAAGATCTTGGCTGCAGTACTCAGTACTGACCAGCAGAGGGTAATGTCTCAAGAATTTCCCCATTAAAACAATTTGTTGATGTGTTGAGACTTAAATGGAATTTTCAAAAGGGACAGAAAACATTTCATAAAGGATATACGATATGTCTGTGTAATGGGTACTACTCCTATTGATTGCCAACAAAAAGAAAACCTCTGCAAGCATTTTAGCTCTAGATCACAACGCCGCTTTACTGTATTCTACTATAATTTTGTGACTAAAATATATTCCTTTATACCAGCAGTAAAAGGCGTGACCGTGTGCAGGAAAACCGAGCTACCGTTTCAGAACCGAAAGATCCTATGATTAAACTTGACACACTAAATACTTCCCATAAAAGGTTATACAAGCAATAATAACAGCGTAGCCTCGGAAGAATTGTGGCAGTTTGTTATTTCAGCGATGCCTATGGCCATGTGAGACAGATATACACACTAGGTGTTTAGTACATTGAACCCCTTTTAATGGTTGTCTACAGAGAGTTTTCTTTTGTACACAACAACTTCCAATTCCACTGCTGAGATTATTATTTCCTGAATGATCTCCAAAGCTGTATTCCAGACGTGGCAATTTTTACATAGTTACATTGCTCCAGCTTGGAGTATGTACATTGTATTGCCAAAGGTATCGGGCCAGCCCTCCAAATCATGTGATTCAGGTGTTCCAATCCCCTCCATGGCCACAGGTGTATACAACCAAGCCCCTAGGCATGCAGACTGCTTCTACAAACATTGGTGAAAGAATGGTTCGCTCTCAGGAGCTCAGTGACTCCAAGCGTGGTCCCGTGATAGGTGGTCACCTGTGCAATAAGTCCATCCGTGACATTTCCTGGCTACTAAATATTCCACGCTCAACTGTTAGTGGGATTATAACAAAGTGGAAGCAACTGGGAACAGCAGCAACTCAGCCACCAAGTGGTAGGCCACGTCACAGAGCCAGAGCTAGTGGTACAGTGCAGAGCGGGGTCAGCGCATGCTGAAGCACACAGTGCACAGAAGTCACCAACTGTCTGCAGAGTCAATAGCTAAAGACCTCCAAACTTGGTGTGGCCTTCAGATGAGCCCAACAACAGTGTGTAGAGAGCTTCATGGAATGAGTTTCCATGGCCGAGCAGCTGCATCCAAGCCTTACATCACCAAGTGCAATGCAAAGCGTCGGATGCAGTGGTGTAAATCATGCTGCCACTGGACTCTAGAGCAATGGAGATGTGTTCTCTGGAGTGACCAATCACGCTTCTCTGCCTGGCAATCCGATGCATGTGTCTAGGTTTGGCGGTTGCCAGGAGAACGGTACTTGTCAGACTGCATTGTGACAAGTATAAAGTTTGGTGGAAGGGGGATTATGGTGTGGGGTTGTTTTTCAGGGGTTGGGCTTGGCCCCCTACTTCCAGTGAAGGGAACTCTTAAGGCGACATTTTGGACAATTTCATGCTCCCAATTTTGTGGGAAGAGTTTGGGGATTGCCCCTTCCTGTTCCAACATGACTGCGCACCAGTGCACAAAGCAAGGTCCATAAAGACATGGAGGAGCGAGTTTGGGGTGGAGGAACTCGACTGGCCTGCACAGAGTCCTGACCTCAACCCCACAGAACACCTTTGGGATGAATTAGAGTGGAGACCTTCTCATCGGACATCAGTGCCTGACCTGACAAATGTGCTTCTGGAAGAATGGTCCAACCTTCCCATAGACACCCTCCTAAACCTTGTGGATGGCCTTCCCAGAAGAGTTGAAGCTGCTATAGCTGCAAAGGGCGGGGCCAACTCAATATTGAACCCTACGGACTAAGACTGGGGGCCATTAAAGTTAATGTGCCTGGAAAGGCCGGCCGACCGATACTTTTGGCAATATAGTGTATGTGCTGTACCTGTGGGATCCCCGTGGAAGCAGGAGATCATTGTAATAGGCACAGCTACTACAGTAACTGCTGCTACCTTTCAGGTCATGTTCCAAGTAACCGCCATGCTGCTTACGGAACACAAGAAGTCACATGTTTGGTATGCCGGACATGTTTCCTCAGAAGCTGGAAATCAATGTTGCAGGCACTACTACTACAGCGGTACTACAGTGATAGCTGCTAGTTCCCGGGTCCTGTGCTGTGTGTCTGCCCTGGTGCATTGTGAATATTCTCCGCATGGATTCATTCAGGGAACACTTTGCATTTTCTCAAGGTGCACTGTGATTGGATGAGGTTGAGATTGAGACCTCACTGCCCCACCTCACATGGAACACTTTGCATTCGTTGAAAAAATACAAAGAGTTCCCTGAATGACCCCATGCTGAGAATATTCATGATGCAGCAGGGCAAACACACAGCACAGGAACTGGAAGCTAGCAGCTATCACTGTAGTAGTAGTGTCTGCTACAGTGATTTCCAGCTTCTGAGGGAATCCAACATGTCCAGCACATGCAGTACATACTAGGGGCTTGTCACACTAGCGGTTGAGGGGCAGTAAAACACAGAGGTTCAGCTGCATTTTAAAAGCCCTCCCCCTTTAGCTGCAGAGGCAGTGGCTGGGGGAGTACACATGCCATGGCCACAATGCTTTGTGGCAGAAATTAAACCCCCTGCCGCCTTGGGTGGGCATAGTGCCCACCAAGCCAGCACACACACAACTAACTCCACAACTGCGCACAATGCACACGTTTGTGGTGCATTAGTGCTGGGCTCAAGGGACTAAAGCAGGAGGTCGGGAGGCAACAAATGCTTTCTAAAGAGTGCTTTCTAAAGAGTCATTCACACTTGTGAATGAGCCCTTACCAGGGGGGGACTGACAACTCATGGGGCCCCCGGGCAATAGGGGATCAAGGGGCCCCTGTGTCCTTGCCAACTCCCAAAAAAGCCTATGAAAAAGCCAATGAAAGGTACCAGGAGCATCTCATGGGGCCCCCTACTGACCCCGGGCTCTCGGGCAGTACCCGAGTGCTCAAATGGTCAGTCCGCCCCTGGCCCTTACCCTTCGCTCTAGATCCTGGCCCTCTCCCTGCCTATCACATGTTGTTGTGCAAGTGTAGACCTCTACCCACCAAACCCATTATGGCCAACAGGATGTTGGCATCTTCCACATTTTACGGTCTAATTGACTGCTGATAGGAGCTAACAAAACCCATTGTCGCACAAGTCCAAGGGTTTCCATCAATGGTCAACTGCAGCTTGATTTCTGGTGCAATCAGCCAGCAGTTAAAATCACGAGAAAATCAGAAAATTGAGCACCAAACGATCATCTCAATAGTCCATAATCCTATATTGGTGATAGCATCGTGACAACGGGAAGGGCAACAGTAGCAAAGGCTTTTGGGGGGCCAAGATCCCCCCTTCATCAGGACTTTTTTTAAGCAGAGTTTGGGTAACAAGAACTTAGTTTTCCACCTGCGGAGTGGATCGATGGAACCAGACATGTGTCGAAAGGTGATGTTTTTTTCCTTTTGAGGGGGGGGGGGGGGGGGGGGGGTCGGCGGACAACAGGCATCGTGATTGACATGGAGATACATCGCTGAATGATGTGGTGGATGATCATGATACATCATGAGATATTTTGGGGATTTTTTTTTTTTAAATCACCTGTTGCTGTCTATATATTATACATATGTACTACAGCAAAAGGGTGGACTTTTACACCCACATGCTGCACATATGTGTCACTAGGTGGCCGATGTTTGCTTACTGCACGCACTCAGCACTGAGACCGAGCTGTCATTGACAACTCTCTATCCCCACAAACTACCCCCCTGGGTCTTCAAAACCTTTTAAATGGATACCTATGTGGGTGGAAAGGGCCAAATGCCTTTTTTTTTTTTTTCTTTTTTTTGTGAATGAGTAGGGGTACTATGAACCCATTATTCACTCACACTGGGGTTGGTATCTGGGCCCCCAGAATTGTGGGGAAGAATGCTGAATCCCAAACAGTCAAGGTCTGATCTGAACTTGTGTTTGGACCTAAGCATGAGCTCATTCCTACCATTCCTCATTATTTGAAAGTGTTACAGTGGACCAGGCAAGGTCCAGAACCTATGGTGTCTGAGTTTCAGAGTCAGCCTCCCTTGGGATTCTCATGCATCCTTCTCAGTTAATAGTTGGATATGAAGATGAAACCAAAAGTAATGCAAAAGGGTTTAACTTTTTTAATAACTTACATAGTTTGTTCAAATGTCACATATTAGTAGAGTAACTCTTCCTTTATATAGTAACTCTTCTTCTTTTTAATTGAAGGTAAATATTAGATTCCAAGCAAAAGCAACGTGCGGTCATTGAGTTCTTGATGAAGGAGTGGTGCATGATGTCCAACATCCACAGATGGCTACAAAATGCTTGACAAGAGTCACCAAAGTCAAGACATTGCTCTTCTCAATTATGTCATCTCCATAAATATTCTGTAGCCTTCTGTGTATGTTGGACAGCCTGCACCCCTCCTTCATCAAGAACTCAATGGCAGCACATTGCTTCTGCTTGGAATACATTATTTACTCTGCCAACAGGTGAAATTTGAAAGACCTATGTAACTTAATAAAAAAAGTTATACCAATTTTTGCATTACTTCCGGTACAGTCAACGTACATGTTCATTCCATTTTGTGATGCACTCCTAAACATGACCACCGCTTTGGAGAACACCAACATTCTCTTCAGCATTCGTCGACTGTATGTAAATGAGTCCAAACTATGACCATCGCTTTTAGGACACCAACATTCTCTTCAGCATTCGTCGACTGTATGTAAATGGATTAAAAGCTATGACCACCGCTTTGGAGAACATCAACTTTCTCTTCAGCATTCGTCGACTGTATGTAAATGGGTCCAAACTATGACCACCACTTTTAGGACACCAACATTCTCTTTAGCATTCATCTACTGTATGTAAATGAGTCCAAACTATGACCATCGCTTTTAGGATACTAACATTCTGTTCAGCATTCGTCGAATGTATGTAAATGAGTCCAAAGCTATGACCAGCACTTTGGAGAACATCAACATTCTCTTTAGCATGCCTCTATTGTATGTAAATTAGTCTAAAGCTATGACCACTGCTTTTGAGAAGACCAACATTCTCTTCAGAGTTCATTAACTAAATGTAAATGAGTCCAAAGCTATGACCACTGCTTTTGAGAAGACCAGCATTCTCTTCAGAGTTCATTAACTGTATGTAAATGAGTCCAAACTATGACCACTGCTTTTGAGAACACCAACATTCTCTTTAGCATTCATCTACTGTATGAAAATGAGTCCAAAGCTATGACCACCTCACAGGGTTTCTCAACTAGGGTTTCTCCAGGGGTTGCTAGGGGTTCCTTGAGCAATTAGTAATTTTTTTCTTCTCAGGTAAGTTCCCACTGACACCATTGATCTTATTAGCTGTCTGTTAGGGGTTAATTCTTCCCAAAGACCACACATGTAAGAAGTATTCTTCTCACTGATCATCACACTAATGCTACTCTCCTCAGCATTCGTCTGTTGTATGTAAATGAGTCCAAAGCTATGGCCACCACTTTTTGAGAACACCAACATTCTCTTCAGCATTCATATACTGTATGTAAGTAAGTCCAAACCATGACCACTGCTTTTGAGAGCATCAACATTCTCTTCAGCATACGTCTACTGTATGTAAGTCCAAACTATGACCACCACTTTTGAGAACACCACATTCTCTTCAGCATTCATCTACTGTAAGTAAATAAGTCCAAACTATGACCACCGCTTCTGGAAACATCAACATTCTCTTCAGCATTCGTTGACTGTATGCAAATGAGTCCAAATTCTATGGCCACCACTTTTGAGTACATCAACATTCTCTTCAGTATTTGTCTACTGTATGTAAGTAAGTCCAAACTATGACCACCGCTTTTGATAATATCAACATTCTATTCAGATTTCGTCGACTGTATATAAAGGAGTCCAAAGCTATGACCACCAACTTTGGAGAACATTAACATTCACGTCAGACTTTAGGGGGCCAAGTTATGACCAGTCGGAGTATAAAATACCCCATGTATCAAAGTGAGTAACCAAAATTCCTAAGCACCTCTGGTTAGTAGGTACAAAATTCCAAAGGCAACCTCTGGTTAGTAAAGAGATAGTGCCCCATAGCTGGTGGGAGGGGGAAATAGTGCCCTACTATTTGTATTGGTAAGAGTCTGGTTAACGTAGGAGGAATAGTGCCACCATTGTTGTTGTCAGTGGGAGGAATAGTGCCCCATAGCTGGTATCAGTGGGTCAAGAAATAGTGCCCCATAGCTGGTGTCAGTGGGAGGAATAGTGCCACATTGTTGCTGTCAGTGGGAGGAATAGTGCCCCATAGCTGGTGTCAGTAGGAGGAATAGTGCCCCATCATTGGTGTCAGTGGGAGGAATAGTGCCCCATCATTGGTGTCAGTGGCAGGAATAGTGCCCCATCATTGGTCTCAGTCAGTGAGGAATAGTGCCCATCATTGATATCAGTAGGAGGAATAGTGTCCCATCATTGGTCTCAGTAGGATGAATAGTGCCCCATCATTGGTATCAGTGGGAGGAATAGTGCCCATCATTGCTCTCAGGGAGAAATAGGGCCCCATCATTGGAGGATAGTGCCCCATCATTGGTCAGTGTAGGAGGAATAGTGCAGGTGTCAGTGGGAGAATAGTGCCCCATCATTGTTATCAGTGGGAGGAATAGTGCCCCATCATTGGTATCAGTTGGAGGAATAGTGTCCCATCATTGGTATCAGTGGGAGGAATAGTGCCCCATCATTGGTGTCAGTGGGAGGAATAGTGCCCCATCATTGGTGTCAGTGGAGGAATAGTGCCCCATCATTGGTGTCAGTGGGAGGAATAGTGCCCCATCATTGGTGTCAGTGGAGGAATAGTGCCCCATCATTGGTGATTGGAGGAAATAGTATCAGTGGGAGGAATAGTGCCCCCATCATCAGTGGTATCCCCAGGTGTCTGTGGGAGGAATAGTGCCCCATCATTGGTGTCAGTGGGAGGAATAGTGCCTCATCATTGGTATCAGTTGGAGGAATAGTGCCCCATTCATTGGTATCAGTGGGTGGGGAATAGTGCCCCATCATTGGTATCAGTGGGAGGAATAGTGCCCCATTATTGGTATCAGTGGAGGAATAGTGCCCCATCATTGGTCTCAGTGGGAGGAATAGTGCCCCATCATTGGTATCAGTGGGAGGAATAGTGCCCCATCATTGGTGTCAGTGGGAGGAATAGTGCCTCATCATTGGTATCAGTTGGAGGAATAGTGCCCCATCATTGGTATCAGTGGGAGGAATAGTGCCCCATCATTGGTATCAGTGGGAGGAATAGTGCCCCATCATTGGTATCAGTGGGAGGAATAATGCCCCATCATTGGTCTCAGTGGGAGGAATAGTGCCCCATCATTGGTATCAGTGGGAGGAATAGTGCCCCATCATTGGTGTCTCAGTGGGAGGAATAGCGCCCCATCATTGGTATCAGTTGGAGGAATAGTGCCCCATCATTGGTATCAGTGGAGGAATAGTGCCCATCATTGGTGTCAGTGGGAGGAATAGTGCCCCATCATTGGTATCAGTGGGAGGAATAGTGCCCCATCATTGGTGTCAGTGGGAGGAATAGTGCCCCATCATTGGTGTCAGTGGGAGGAATAGTGCCCCATCATTGGTATCAGTGGGAGGAATAGTGCCCCATCATTGGTATCAGTGGGAGGAATGCTGCCCCATAGTTGGTGTCGGGGGGATAAGAGTGCCCTATTGTTGGTTTTAGTGGGTGTAATTGTGCCCCGTCATTGGTGTCAGTTGAAGGAATAGTGTCAGTGGGGGTCACATTGCCCCAAGGGCCAGATAAAGGCAAGCAAAGGGATGCATCCAGATCACGGTCTACAGTTTGGATCTACTTCTTTCCTAGTCCACATCTTTGCTTCTCTTTTAGCCTTCCAAAGAAGATGCTTACCTTTCCTGAATCAACAACACACCTGCGTCCTTCTTACAAAACCCAAGCCG